CTAATATACACAGAAAACTAACAAAAGAAAAATGCACTATTTTGCAGGAGTAATAAAATGATGTAAAACCTTTTCCTCATTAAAAAAAACCCAAACAAAATGAATATTTTGTAAATAAAAGAAGCAAACCATCAAGATTACAGGATTGAAATAAAAAAATATCATATGTACAAAAAATTTATATACAATCACAAGTCATAAGCCGCAGTGGTTCAGTGAGTATAAGGTGTTGGCCGAGAAATTTCAACTGGATTTTCCGGCATAGTTCCCACTTGTCAGTAGTGTTGGATATGGCAAGGGATAATTGGGTACAAGCCCGGAATCGAAAGAGAGAGAGAGAGAGAAATGGGGTTTAACGTCCACTTGACACAAACTAGGTCATTTCGGGATTAACATATGGTTTAATTTTATTTCAATAATTCGTTGCGAATAGGGGTCTTTAGCAGTGGGAGGAAACCGGAGGTCCCGGAGAAAACCCACAAGATTGGACAGGCGACCCTACTCCTTGTCACGTACAACCGGGGATTCGAAACCACGCCAGTTGACTCAGTGACAGGCCGTATGACACCGCACTCACGTGCTTACCATTCGGCCATCCACCACCCCCTCCCCCAATCCCGGAATCGAAACCATCCCCACTGCGTTCACTTAGAGGAACCCTTGACAATTGAATTATTTGACTCAATGACAGACTTCCTGATCAAATGTGTGCGTGTTAATCATTGCCCCCCCCCCCCCGGGTTCCCGTTAAAGAACCCTTGACAGTTATTTATTTTATTATTTATTCATAAAATCATAGGAAAAAGTAAATTAATACATCAAAACTAAATAAATATTTGAAATGTTAACAGAAAAACAGAGAATTCGAATACTAATTATATTGTGTTATATATAATGACCCCCCCCCCCCACACACACACACACCCCACTTTACCCATCACAAAATATAACATAGCTATTTAAATTGTTCTTAACCCCACACACTTTACCTATCACAAAATATAAAATAGCTATATAAATTGTTCTTTACCCCAAAACAAGAACTGAGAATATAAAGATATGTACACAGTATCCCTACCCCATACTCCAAAATATATAATTCAAATAATATCTAAATTTAATATCATCCAAACCAAGCACTAAGATTAATTATGCACTAAATTGAAACAATTTCAAAAACTGAAAAGTGCTACAAAATCACACTAAAAGTGATTTGTGAGACATATACAAATAACTAATATACACAGAAAACTAACAAAAGAAAAATGCACTATTTTGCAGGAGTAATAAAATGATGTAAAACCTTTTCCTCATTAAAAAAACCCCAAACAAAATGAATATTTTGTAAATAAAAGAAGCAAACCATCAAGATTACAGGATTGAAATAAAAAAATATCATATGTACAAAAAATTTATATACAATCACAAGTCATAAGCCGCAGTGGTTCAGTGAGTATAAGGTGTTGGCCGAGAAATTTCAACTGGATTTTCCGGCATAGTTCCCACTTGTCAGTAGTGTTGGATATGGCAAGGGATAATTGGGTACAAGCCCGGAATCGAAAGAGAGAGAGAGAGAGAAATGGGGTTTAACGTCCACTTGACACAAACTAGGTCATTTCGGGATTAACATATGGTTTAATTTTATTTCAATAATTCGTTGCGAATAGGGGTCTTTAGCAGTGGGAGGAAACCGGAGGTCCCGGAGAAAACCCACAAGATTGGACAGGCGACCCTACTCCTTGTCACGTACAACCGGGGATTCGAAACCACGCCAGTTGACTCAATGACAGGCCGTATGACACCGCACTCACGTGCTTACCATTCGGCCATCCACCACCCCCTCCCCCAATCCCGGAATCGAAACCATCCCCACTGCGTTCACTTAGAGGAACCCTTGACAATTGAATTATTTGACTCAATGACAGACTTCCTGATCAAATGTGTGCGTGTTAATCATTGCCCCCCCCCCCCCGGGTTCCCGTTAAAGAACCCTTGACAGTTATTTATTTTATTATTTATTCATAAAATCATAGGAAAAAGTAAATTAATACATCAAAACTAAATAAATATTTGAAATGTTAACAGAAAAACAGAGAATTCGAATACTAATTATATTGTGTTATATATAATGACCCCCCCCCCCCCCACACACACACACCCCACTTTACCCATCACAAAATATAACATAGCTATTTAAATTGTTCTTAACCCCACACACTTTACCTATCACAAAATATAAAATAGCTATATAAATTGTTCTTTACCCCAAAACAAGAACTGAGAATATAAAGATATGTACACAGTATCCCTACCCCATACTCCAAAATATATAATTCAAATAATATCTAAATTTAATAACATCCAAACCAAGCACTAAGATTAATTATGCACTAAATTGAAACAATTTCAAAAACTGAAAAGTGCTACAAAATCACACTACAAGTGATTTGTGAGACATATAGAAATAACTAATATACACAGAAAACTAACAAAAGAAAAATGCACTATTTTGCAGGAGTAATAAAATGATGTAAAACCTTTTCCTCATTAAAAAAAACCCAAACAAAATAAGCCACAGCGGTTCAGTGAGTATAAGGTGTTGGCCGAGAAATTTCAACTGGATTTTCCGGCATAGTTCCCACTTGTCAGTAGTGTTGGATATGGCAAGGGATAATCGGGTACAAGCCCGGAATCGAAAGAGAGAGAGAGAGAGAAATGGGGTTTAACGTACAGTTGACACAAACTAGGTCATTTCGGGATTAACATAAGATTTAATTTTACTTCAATAAATCGTTGCGCATAGGGGTCTTTAACAGTACGAGGAAACCGGAGATCCCGGAGAAAACCCAAAAGATTGGACAGGCGACCCTACTCCTTGTCACGTACAACCGGGGATTCGAAACCACGCCAGTTGACTCAATGACAGGCCGTATGACACCGCACTCACGTGCTTACCATTCGGCCATCCACCACCCCCTCCCCCAATCCCGGAATCGAAACCATCCCCACTGCGTTCACTTAGAAGAACCCTTGACAATTGAATTATTTGACTCAATGACAGACTTCCTGATCAAATGTGTGCGTGTTAATCATTGCCCCCCCCCCCCACGGGTTCCCGTTAAAGAACCCTTGCCAGTTGAAATATTTGATATAAGAGTAGGGTGTAGGGCAGAATCACTCTAAGAACACAGAAAAGTAGGATACTAAACCGCATTTCATTTCATAAGCAAGGGAAAGTCACCTTTATGTAGGTCAAGGTTCTTTTGTAATTCTGGGTGTATTTGATCTACATTTGGTTTCTAGTAATGCCTATTAAATACTTTATGATTTCTGACCAAATTCTAAGTGATTTATATGTCACTTTACTTGCTATATTATACATACATTTCTGAAGAGAATTAAAATCTAATTGTGTTTTGGAAGAAAATTTAACATTAATAACCCAAAATTAATATTTAAAAATTGGGTCAAATGCATTCTTTCCCAGAAGTATAAAATAAATTGATGCTTGGGTTTTCTTGTTTTTATCATACAGCAAATACTCTTTCAATGGTATTCCAGCCTAAAAAATAAAAAGTAGGAGATAAGAATACTTTCTATGGTTCACAACGTTTAAATAAACAATTTATTTTGCCACATCGAGACCGAGTCTCTATTTGGTTTCAACTTTGCGTAACGCTTATTGTGTCTTGTCCAGTTACAGACCCAGGCAGATTATTATGCTCAAATCAAATGAGTTAGAAGTCAGAAAAAAGTCTTGAGATTTGGGACTGAAGTCTCATAATAGGTCAACTATTCACCCTTTCATACATGTATTGTCTGCAAATCCAGATTTCCTACTACATCATGGCAGCACCTATTTACTTGGCAATGTCTAATTATTTTTGGACCCATTCTTATTTTATTTCCATTGACAACAAATTGGATATTACCCTTTAAAATCTATTGAAATCTATTTGAAAGTAAAATACTGTCCATCATTATTTTACTGCTATTTACTGTAAAAATACACATACATGTAGGGCCTATCGCAACTTGAAGGAAATCAATGGATGTGATTGGAAAAAATCAAGCATGCCAAGTACTTGAAACAGCAGAGTCCTAGGCATTGCCCCAAGAAGAATAACTAGATTACCAAGCAAGTGTATAGAAGTACTTCCTGATTAAAAATACAAATATATTATGTTACTTACATTTTGCGTGTTTTCCCCTTGTCAGTGATACAGGACGGAGGACCTGACAAGGACAGCTGTCTAGTCGTTCGGATGGGACGAAAAACCGAGGTCCCGTGTACACATTGGCGTGCACGTAAAAGATTCCTTGGCAATTGGAATTCGATATAAGAGTAGGCTGTAGCGCCGCTGCCCGGGCAAAATTCCCTTCATAGCACACTGTATGGCGTATGCCCGTCTTCATTAGCCCAATTTATGAGCAAAACAGTAGGATGTTAAACCCCATTTCATTTCATTTTCAAAATTATAAAATAATTTGATGGCTTAATATTCAAAAGGTACAGTCCTTCATGTTTATAAAATTGTACGGGAGCCATAAAAAGCTCCTGATACCTTGAATATAGAAGTGTATAGAACCAGTTCCTGATTTAAAAAGCAAATATGCATGGTACTTACATAGTCTTTGTCTGATAAGCAAGATCTGTGAGAAAACGTCTCCACAATATCAATAGCCCTTTCCAACTTGATCTTCCGAGGTGGGTAACTGAAAAAAAAATGGCAATGTATTAGTTGGCTTAAATTGACTAGACAGTTTTGATTAATTAAAAAAATGTTAATTTAATTACATTTGTTTTGTTTCATGTGTTGGTTTGCTTTGCCACAGATGAGACAGTGATATCTACATATAACTAAGATTCTGTCTCTGCTAATACATGACGTGTACAGTTTTACTATACTAAACTGAATTTTAGATTTCAAAATAGCATAACAATCTTTTCTATTAGAATTGAATAGTTACCCACCAAGAAAAAGCTGCTCTATCACCATTTTCAGCCATTTCTTCTTCCATTTTTTTCTTTTATAATTTCTTTTGTTATTACATGATCTTTTTCTGGGTGATTTGCATATACATCCAATATTGAAACTGAAAAAATAAATACATGATATGTAATTTACGATTAAAGCTACCTTACCATATATACAAACTGTGTGATATGAAATTGAAACTAATGTATCTATATGTATCAAAAGTTTTAATCCCAAGGAACTACCAAGCCGTAAAAGTCTATCTTAATAATCCTTGTTTGTCACATGGTTTCACTGTCGCAGTAATTAGAAGACGGCCATGGTGAGTAAATTAGGTGCTGGCACACTAGCATGGAGGCCACAGGTTATCTCTTGGGGTTGACCGAGAAAGCTCATCTTGATTTTGCAGAGTGGTTTCCCCTGAGATCCAATGTACACATTGGCATACACATAAAAGTTCTCTTGGCAGTTTGAATTCGGTATGAGAGTAGGCCATAGTGTCGCTGCCCAGACAAACATTTTCACTTAGCACAATGCATTAGACCAGTCGGAGCTGACCAGTAGGACGTTGTCTTTAAACCCCATTTCATTTCTAGTAAGATTGAAGTCTCTCTACTTTCTTTATATGTAAATATCATATTTAATATAAGTCATACTTTTATTCGATATGGGGTGGGGCTGGGGGGAATGGTCTAGTAGGTAATGCATGCGCATTGTGTTAAGTGGCATGGTTTCAATTTCAAGGAGTAGAGTCGCCTGTCCAATCTCTTGAGTTTTTTCGCTGGGTCATTCGGTTTCCTCCGTTTTCTAAATACATGTACCCCTACGCCAAGCGAATTATTCATATTAAATTGAAGCATACCTTCTCTAATCTCTGGGTCCTTTTGTTTCCTCCTTTTGCTAAATACCCATACCCGCAAGCGAATTATTCATATTAAATTTAACCTTACCTGTCCTTTTTCCCGAAACGACCTAGCGTCTGTAGGCTAAGTAGATATAAGGACCCATCTTGCAACAACTCTACATGTAGGTTCGTGCATAATTAATATTACAGTAACATACCAATTTTTAATACATGTAGAATGCGACAGTGTGCAGGGAAAGGGTGGAATCGGAAGTAGGCTAATCCTCGTCGTAGTTGATTACCGGTATGCATATAGGCACAGCATGGATTACTTGATTCTTCAAATACAAGTACATGTAAGGCCTTGTTTATGTCATTTCTCTCTCTCTCTCTCTCTCTCTCTCTCTCTCTGTTGCATGTAAGTGCCATATAAATACTTTATTTTGGATTGTATGTTCACATACACTAATCATTGTAGGACATTGGTAAAAAAAAAAGAAAATATAAAAATTAATTGAAATTTTTACCTGTTTTTCTTCGATTCAATGCCAATGGAGTCCTTGGTAAATTCTCAATAATTATTGCTGGAAGGTGGAAAGAGTCACATATCATCACTGACTGGAAAAAATAATAAAACTATAGAGAAACTTCCACAGGCTGATTCTAGTTCCATTATTTATTAACTGTGACTGAATCATTCAAAAATGGGGCCTAATATTAAATATTACACAGACTCACAGAGGTTGAACAACGGATTACATGTCATTTGGGACTCGCGTCATTTGGGACTCAAAAAAATATGACCACGACATTTGGGACTCGGGTATACGACGTTTGGGACTTTGGTATACGTCGTTTGGGACTCGGGTTAACGACGTTTGGGACTCGGGTTAACGACGTTTGGGACTCGGGATAATTTATTAGAAATAGGCCAATTCAAAACACGAAAGAAAATATTTATTAACATGAAACACGTGGTTAGTAAAAGGCTCAACCAAACGATAAAACATTAGTTGCACTTACGGTTCTTTGATAATCATCGTTTCTCATAAAAGTTTTATATTTATTTAAAACGAATAATATGCTGATGAATTTATTTGAAAATGACCTACACAAAAAACAAAATAAATATTTACACGACATGCAATCTTTTTTTACAAGCCCCTAGAAATTGTTAACGATAATCCGTGAGCTGCACGTTGACATGCTTGTCGTAGATGGCAATACCAATTGATAAATTAGTGCGTACAAGGCAAAGTTTTTTTGTGGACAATATAAGAAATGGCAACGAACAAAGCGGGATAATTAAAGCTGATAATCCCAATGTTATTACAGTATGTTCAAAGAAACCTAACGGTTCTTTGGTGGATGAGGAAAAACGTGAGTTGTCAATCATCGAGAATGGCGGCCGTGTGTTGATTGCAGTTATACCGTTTCACGAAAAAACATTAGCAGTGGTCGGTCAATCAAGCTCGTTTACTATTTATAACGCAAATTTTTCGTTTCGGTTAAAACAATATATACGTCCATTTTAATTGGCCGAAGGATGTGTGACTAATAGAAATATGGCGGGAGGACAAACTGACCAAACAGTATATTTCGAGGTATTTGAGGTAAGCTAATTTAATATTATATCATAACTGCATGTGCATACTTGTGTTTCTGTGTGATTAAATATTTAAAAAATCATTCTTAGGATACAGCCTCGACACCAGTCCGCCTTGAATTGCAATGTTTGTTTTGTGTTCTGGGCGCCATTTTGATAAAAACTGAAATGACCTATATAATACAATCCAGCGATAGTGCAGTCAATTTCCGTTAAAAGGGAATCCGAATTTGTTAATTTTCTGCAATATCACTTCGGTGGTAGCGGACGTTAAATAAAGCTATTTCACGTACAAAGACCTACAATAAAATCCAGGTGAATTGGGAAAAATATTCATGTATTTTCTTGATGAAGAGTAGCTATTTCAATTTGTAAATGCCCAGTCATCTTAGACAAATAATAATTCCAACTTCAAATCAGTTGTATTTATTCAAATCATACTATGAATAATTGTATTTTTCCACTTGCATAATAATAAAAACTTGACTTTATTATTTTATTTCTTCAGGCCAAGAACATGGAAAATTGGTAATTGCCTTGTATCACTGCTAACTATAAGGCACAGGGAGCCTTGGGCAGAAATGATAATAATATGGTTCTCAGATATGTTACTGTATACAGACTGAACAAAAAATATATATACACTTGCTATTACATGTACATTATATCATTGGCAATAATAAGATCCAATTTTAGTTTTTAGTTACACACTGTTAACCACCAATAGATGACAATAAATCATAAAATGTATTCAGCTCGACGTAAGACTTAAATAAATAGATACAGTTGGTTTAACTTGAATAGAAGTTTTAATTATCTATGCTGCATATATGCATATATCACCTTGCAGCTGAATCACATTACATATCTTTTTAGTTGATGTTCATATCGTCTTACGTATTTGTCAACATCAATGTGACCTTGTTCTATGTCACATTAGCCTTTTCAGACTTGTTACCACGAATTTACTCACCACACCCTCGCATAGTTATGAATTTATTGTTTCACTTGACTAAAGAAACATTTTGTAGGAATGTATGCTTTTATAGATTGGACACTTGTTTGCAATATCATTGTCGGTGGAAACTGGCACTATACCTAAAGAATGACTGAACAAATAGCGGAGACGGGGTTTCAGCCGGCTGATTTAAATTATTTCTTTAAATACAGTAAAGCTTGAAATATGTCAGTTTTCACTCTTTAGAATGTTTTTGTAAATAAGTTTTTATTGTAGTTTCCGTGGCGTATTCCCAATAAGCGTTAGAAACAAAGATATACACCCTTAATCCCGGTGCCGATAAATGTTGGGTTGTGTGGAACATGCTAACAAATCTCGGGTACGATATATGTTTGATTCTGGTTGAAAACAGCATGAGAGCAACATGATTGTTTTCATTGGAGATGAGACGCAAATATTCAAAGGGGTCAGACAAACTCTAAACCAACCGCGTTCCCTTCACTGAGTCCCTTCAAAGGAGGCCCTGTCTGTCTACCTGTGGAATAACATGCATTTGTATCTGTTAAATTTGTGTGGTAGACAGATTGATATTATTTATATAACGTCTTACCCCAAACAAATTGCAAAAGAAACCATGAAGTGTCTGAGAGCGATATTTCGTAATTAGTGTGCTTTAATGGTGGGAGGATAAATAATTTCTTTTTAAATTTTTCAAACACAAACTGATTTTGGGGGCATAATACTAAAATATGCAAATGACTACGAAAAAAGTCACTATAGAACCTAACAGAAGAAACATTTCCAGTTACATGTGACGCCCAAACGCACCAATAGCTACCGCATGGAATGCAGGTGATGCTTGGGATCATCATGGGGGTCCAACCCAAGATTTGCACGACTCTGACTTTGAATGTTACAGTCATTGTGGCATTGAATTCCAGGGTGGAAACATCAGTTTAATTGTTTTAGTGACCAGAAAACAAATTTTGATATGCGTCGGCTTACCCAAAATGAAAGGTTACGTGCCCTTGGCATGCTACAGATCGGCACAACACAGGCGGTTGTGGCGCGGACGATGAATGTTTCTCAGTCTGTCATAAGCAGGCTATAGTCCAGATACCGTGATACACAATCTGTACAGGACAGACCACGCTCAGGTCGACCAAGGGCGACAACTCAAGCCCAGGATCGATTTATCCGTACCTTGGCCTTGAGAAATCGTGTCATCACAGCAAATCAGATCAGCGCTCGTCTTCAAACAGACACTGGTGTGAGAGTGAGTGGCCAGACGATTCGGAATCGACTGCATAGGGGTCACCTTCGCGCCCGACGTCCTCGCGTGATCCCTTGTTTGAGAGATCATCACATTCAGGCAAGACGTCGTTGGTGTAGGGATCGTCAACACTGGGATAATCGACGCTGGAGCAATGTGATGTTTTCAGATGAGTCAAGGTTCACTGTTGATTTTTTGGACAGACGTAGGAGGGTGTGGCGTCGTCGAAACGAGCGCTTCCAAGACGTTAACGTCATCAGACATGATCGATTTGGGGGTGGTTCTGTTATGGTGTGGGGAGGCATCACTGTTGCTGGAAGAACGGCTTTACATGTTGTTGCAGGGCGTGTTACAGGCCAGTACTACCGGGACAACATCTTGGCAGCCCATGTTGTGCCGTTCGCACGACGTCATGGCCGCTTTTCATCTTCCAGGATGACAACGCAAGATGTCACAGGGCCAGGATCGTTACAGGTTACCTCCAACAACAGAACATCACCACATTACCTTGGACAGCACTGAGTCCCGACCTCTGCCCCATCGAGCATGTCTGGGACATGCTTGGACAGAGGTTACGTCAACGTCAACAACGTCCTGCCAATGTCCAAGAACTTGCTGCTGCGTTGCAACAGGAATGGGACAATCTGGACCAAAATGACCTTAGACGTCTCATTAGGAGTATGCCACGTCGGATCAATGCTTGTTTGGCAAACAGAGGAGGATTTACCCGTTACTGACTTGGTTGTGATGCTGTGGTAACTTTGCTGTTTGACCCCGGGTATCATTTTACCCTTATAATGGTCAGTCTGTGCCTTACTTAGTCTAACGATCATTTGGAATAAATCGATGAATGTGAACTTCATTTCATTTTGTCATTTGTTTCTTCGTCAGTTTCATTAGGTGACTTTAATAACACTTAAAAATCAAATATCCCCTACTTTTTTGAATAGTATATATAAAATAGCATTTTCTGACAAGACCAGCGATAATCTCGTAAGATATGACTTTTACTATGTCTATTAAATGGTTTTCGACGTCTCTTCAAGGTCACCGTCTTGCGCCAAAGTCGTGAAACGCATCGTCGGGGGATTTGTTGGGGCCTGTCTCCCCCAGAAAAATTTCTAGAAATTTCAAGTCGGTCTTGCCTGGCCGTGAATACGGCAACCTGAAAGTGGTCGATTTTAATGTAGACATCTGAACTCCAATCAACAAATCAATCAACCAGGCTGTTGTCGTTGCATTCACATGACACCAGACGTGTCACCGATGAAACAAATATGCCTGAAACAAATGTCGCTGTTAGTGCGACCCATTTGTGACAATTTCAAGGTCCCAAATAATAGTCCTTTTTTACTATTAATAGTAATTCAATCAGTAAGTGCTATTTACCTTATAATAGTCGTCTTGGCTTTTACCCGACATTACACAAAACACCAATGGTAACTGTCGGGTGGTCTCTCCAGTCTTAATGAAGGCGTGGATGGAAAACAGCTGAGACCATGGCTTGTTCACCACCCGAAAAGATGCATCCATATACCAAGTTTTTGCGCGTGCGAGTAGTTGCATCTGTCTATCAGTACAAAAAATGTGATGGCGCCTTTCCCCAACTTTTACTCTTTTTTGATAAAATCCCGGTGCACTATGATCGATGGAATCTTCGTCAAGCTAAAACAAAAAATAAATAAAAAAGTACATTTAATTACATGTTAATAAATAAATAAAATTGTACATTTCATTACATGTTAATAAATTCTTATATACATGAGTATTTAATTGCATGAGTACTTACGCTTGACGACACGTCAGTGGGATCTTTTGGTCGCAGAGTCTGTAGCGACCTTACAAGTGCTGCCATGGGTGGTCTGCTATGAATGGGTTCTTCTGCAGACCCGACACTGGATAAAACTCTCTCCGCTATTGAGGAACATGACTTGGTAAAAACATTTCCTTTGGCTTCATGCTTTGCCTGTAATGATAAGATAAAACATATTAAACTACAAATATATTATTGGTTTATTTATATTTTATTTATTTACACACATATATAAATTTTTAATTTAATTGATATATAATTTTTAAACCTACTGTAACTTTTATCTTGGTAGCCGTGTGTATACCGAGTTCTGCTGGGTGAAAATGGTTCTTTAAGCCTGGTTGGTATGTATCACCATCTTGGATTACTGTTGCCGGACATCGTGTTGGTCCGCTTCTTTTGGAAAACCTCCAAATCGTAGTTTTCTTCTCTGTCTAAAATATATTAAATTCATTTATTATTATAGAGTTAACTAGGTTAACTAGAGTTAATTATCTTTACATTTTGTAGCTGAAATACATTTCTATACAAGGTAGTTAACTAGGTAAAATAAATCACCCTACCTTAATTGTATAACTAAACCCTTGGTTGTCAAACAACTTGGACTTGCCACGGGAGGTACCAGCTTCTACCTGCGTATACACCACTACGGGTTCTTCGTCGCAGAAGACACTAACGTCGGCATCGTCTGAGATGGAGGACTCCATGACCGGAACTGGCACATCGTATCGGGTTTCGGCTGTAAACGATTCTTCTACTTCCATAGGTTCAGTTGTTGGGACCTCCATAACTTCTTCTTGTTGTTCGTCCATATCTTCCGTCTGCTTATTAGATTTAAAGTTGTTTTTTTAAACATAAATTAGATTACAATTCAACTAACACAAAAGTGTAAAAAGATTTTTTTCTAGTCTGTGCCCGCGTTTATGTCTACTCTTGGCAAAATCGTTATAATATAAAAAAATCATGAAACAAGAATCAAAATGGCCGCCAATCGGGTCTCCAACGCCAATCCAACCTCCCAAGATATAATTTCAAAACAGATTCTTACCTGCTGGTTCAAGTCGAGCCGTTTCTGCTTTAATCATAATGTGATTCTGTAATGTAAGTATTTGAACAACATCGTAGCGCCGAACAACTAATGTTAATTAAGCATGATTTCAGAAAAATTGAACAGATTTGATAATAACATGCCGAAATTTTTTTCCTGACCGCGCCATATTATAAACATAAACACCCGGTTTAAATTGTTGGAGTTTTTTTTTAAGGAAACGAAATACTAATATTATACAGAGAAACAATATCGATGCTAAATTACATACATGGTATTATTTTTTTTATAAAAATATTCACAAACCTGCGGTCTTGTATTCTATGTGACCATTAGCTTACATTTGTCAAACATATCACTGTTCCAAAATCATTTCAGCACGTTGTTAAATGTTAAATTAATTGTGTGAAATCACTTCATTTAATGTCCGCTTCCACCGAGATGATATCGCAGACAAAATGTAGCCTATAGTACGTTGATTTTATCAACCAATCACATTCAATAACAGTTTTACTTATTTTCTTGTCAACGCATTTGGAGTCAATTGTTAAAATCACACCGGGCATGAGCGCTCAACAGGCCTTTGATCTACCAGTTTATTGGGCCCAACTTTATTTTAACTACAGACATCTTAACACCAATTAGCATTCAAGTCTGTCTGGCTATATTGTCTGAGTAAAAAATACCTTTCTCTTACTTGTGGACCCCCGAATTAAGACTTTGTATGGAGTTCAAATTTAAAAAAAAAAAATTGTTGACGGTACACATTACTTGAGTTAATTATATGGAAAAAACACAAGATTTGTGTTAATGCATTAAAAAGAACACAAGTTTGTGTTAATGCAATGCAAAACAACACATAACTTGTGTAGAATAATTTTCACACAAGTACTTGTGTTGAGATCCAACACAAGTTTTTTTTCAGTGTACAAAATTTCTTCATGGTTGTTGGTTTCCATCATTAGTTACGAAAGAATCCCTGCATTACCGTGGCCCCTTTTAGGTCAATCTAACAGTCGACGTATGAAACGTTATCTAAAGCAGGTTTTATTAATATAGTCAACCCGTATCATATTACAACTACCGACTTGTTAAACATTATTTAAAGGAGCTAAATCGCTAATATTTGGGACCTAGAAATTGACCCAAACTGGTGGCAATGCATATATAATGTAATCTGATTGTATATAAAGTGATTTACATTCAGTTGTTTCCGTTTTGACTCAATTACAAATAAGTTATGTCCAGCGAAATACGGCATAAGTCTCAACCGAATGCCAATTTTTAGCGTCTTGTTATTCCAGTCTATTGCGCATGCTCTCCAGTTACGATATGGCGTCACCGTTTGACACGAGTCAAGTATGATTCGTCTACATAACGTGGCCCCTATAGATTACAACTACCGACCCATTAAACATTTAAAGCATGTATTATAATAGATCATACCAAAAGAATGTAAAATATTCTTCTATACATGTATAATGTGACATATCAGTAGATTTCTCGGAAATTTAACAATGACGTAATCCATGGAAATGAACATTATCCTTAAATAGGTTTGACCTAAAATAACATTAAAAGTTCCATAACCCTACTTAATGCGACTCGCGCATCGGTCTGATAATTATTACAATTACTAATACAAAGGCTTAAACCCTTTCACATAACAAGATGCATCATTACAAAATACCTTACATACAATCCACATGGTTCATATCTAGTATATTGTGTTTTTTTATCAGACATTTTTTGCAGATAAAATAAAAAAAATATGAAAATTTTTTTATATAAAATTATTATCCATATTGACGGAAAAGAATGAAATACAGTGTGAGTCCTGATTGCACGTATTCAAATGCGACCTGGAAAAGTGAGACTACAACAACTTCCTAGGCGAAAGGTCGCTAATAGCGTGGTATGTTAATTTCCTAATTTCTACTTTTCGAGTTGCATTTTGGCTTGGTATGCGTGTTGGCGCCTTCTTACTGACATAAATAAATACAAAAATATGACTAAGTCGAAAGTCGACAAGACGGTATACAAGCCAAAATGCAATTCGAAAATGATAAATTAGGAAAAAACGAGGGGCGCTATTATCGCTGTGTGTTATTTCTTAATTTCCTATTTTCGAGTTGATTTTGGCTTGTAAAGCGTGTTGGCGCCTTCTTACTGACATCAATAAATACAAAAATATGACTAAGTCGAAAGTCGACAAGACGGTATACAAGCCAAAATGCAAGTCGAAAATGATAAATTAGGAAAAAACGAGGGGCGCTATTATCGCTGTGTGTTATTTCTTAATTTCCTATTTTCGAGTTGATTTTGGCTTGTATAGCGTGTTGTCGCCTCACATTTTGTGGTAACTTCTATTTTTTGACTTTTCGATTTTCGTGTTTTGAATTTGAAGAGGTGACAAGTAGAAATTATGAATGGTAGTTATAGGCTTCCATAAATTGTAGACAAACAGCGTCAGTGTGATAATGTACCTAAAAATGAGAAAAGTTGATTTATAATTCGAGATAAAAATCTTTCTTCGCTAAAAAACATTAACGTCCGTGTATAAAACAGAGATATTTTACTGATCTGGAGTAGTCGAGACAAATCAACGACGTTTTATCTCCCTTTTTAATTGGAATTGACTAATATACGTGTAAAAGAGATATAATAAATATTGAGATTTGGGATTTAGCATGAGTGGTGATCCATTCTATTTCCTTATCTTTTCATGTCCCTGTTTCATGTCATGTTGTTAGAAATATGTTTGTTTAAAAAAATCTTTGTTGATCATAACACCTGTTCATTATACACCATCTATCTATATAAATAATATTAAGATGTGTGTATGTATTTTCGTCCATCACGCTTCGTTGCCGTGATCCACTTCATGTATTAAATTAACAGGCATGACCCTGTGAATGTTTTAGGCCATGATTTATGTTGGGCTGTGCCTACAGCTGAACTGTTTTAATGCAATTAACGGTTAACTGGAGATAACTCTGTTTATTACGGTAATTAAGTTTAATAAAAGTAACGGGTAATGTAAATAGCTAGTGGGGAAAGCGTGCAAGAAAGGAAGATGGCGGCTAAGCAGATCGAGCTAGTTCAAAATATTTGTTTATTGATTAAATTCGATTACGCCAGGTGGATATGTTTGAGTCTAAATTACGAGACTTCAATTCGTTTCATGTGGTGTACACAGTAACGTTATTGACAAATGTTTAAAACAAAAGTAGTCGGGAATTGTTCTGATTAAAATCATTTATTTACAGAATGTTGAAAGTTTTAGCGTTTGTTTCTTTTGTCTCACCCTGGTAAGCCAATCAAAATAATTTTCCACAGACTTTTTTAACGGGGGTTTAGAATCATGTATGCTTCGTCCACCGTTGTCTTTGAGTTAGGCGGTAGAGGGATGGCTGCATCATAAGGTCTATCGTTGAGTTTAGTGGCGTGGGTATCATTGAGTTTAGTGGCGTGGGTTCGGTTACCCGCTTCTGAGTCTGAGTGACAAGGACTAAGATGGCATATCCAGCCTCGTGGGTTTTCTTAGGGCCCTCTAGTTTCCTCCCTTTGTTAAAACCCTTACGAATTATTGAAATAAAATTGAACCGAAATGACCTAGTTTGTGTCGAGTGGACATTAAACCCATTCAGCACCTTCTGTATATTAACTTTTAACTGTTTGATTTTAAACTTAATGCAACGATATATTTTACGTAATTATTGTTAACGCGCGTTTGGCTATGTCCATATCTTCATCTGTATTTAAACATCTGTTTCCTATGTACAATTTAACATTTCTGGTCAAATATTATCATATAATTATTTTAATCGTAAACTTGTATATATATGTTCCATATTCTACTGTAACTTTAGTCTGGTGACCGGCTCGCCCTAGCGATACCTATCTCGTTATTGTGACCGATAGCCAGTTTTGGGCAATTTTAACTATTTATCTGAGTTTTCGTCGTTAGTGTTGGAATAAGTTACAACCCCCAGAAAACAGCACTTCGGCAACTCTATGCCCAAATTTGTAGAACGATGCAAATATTTGCTGTCAGTTGACCCATTTGTATTCAAGACATCTATTTCACACAAAATTATTATATATCCAGGCAGGGCTAACAATGGCTTTTAATTTTTTTCCGCCAAAATGGATGATCATTTTATATAAGAAAATGTTCATATTTTTTTTGCCAACTGGAATATTTTATCTGCCAAAAATGTATGATAATAAAGATAACATATAGCAACTAGGCTTATATAAATTGTAACATGCTTAAGGGCGAATCTTGCGTTTTGATTTGTCAATTACACACTGTCGATTGGACAATAACACCCCTCTGTTTTAGTAATTTCTTTTAAAATGCTAAAATAGCATGTTACAATGTCGATAAACACTTCTGTTTCGCATTTAGAGGGATGTTATTGTCCAATAGACATGTCCTGAGATTTTACATTAGAACCCGCGAGATGTTTTAAAGTTTAAATCTTAAAAATGAAATGAAGTTGGGCTTAAAAAGCTGAAATTTACCTTCCTGCATTAATCCGGATAAAGCGTTATACTATAAGGGGATTTTTGCCCGAGCAGTGGCTTTTCCGTCTACTCAACGCCGAATTAGTGTTACCAAAGCACAAAAATATGGAAGACTGACAAACACAGCAACATAAGGTGAACAAAATATACAAGAAGAAGAGATATATCAAACATAAAGTCTGTTTTTTTTGTGATGTAGGTTATATTTTAATATCTTATACTTGTTGGTATCTAGTTGTTTTTAAGAAGTACATATGGATATATTGTAGTTCTTGGTTAAGATGAATATATTAAAGGCTTATAATTATAATTTATAAAGAAAGAACTAAATATTTTTTAACTGAAGAAGTGTCTAAATATTACAATATAGTTTATTATGTAAACATTACAATATAGTTTATTATGTTAAATATTACAACATAGTTTATTATATTAAACCTTATATCAATGGTTAATGAATATACTAAAAGTGGGTCTCTGTACAACATAAATTAGTTTGATTGCAGGGTATGGCAATATGACTCTCCACATTTAGGTGCTGAAAAATACAAAACATGGTTTATATATTATCAAGCAGCCATAAGCCTTCATGAAACTCATTCCTGTTTCCTGATTTACTGTGTAGATAAGACAACTACGTGTTTGTTAACTGTAGATATACGTTAAGTGAATAAAGTAGTTTAAAAGTAGGTCTGATTTGGGTTTACTATATGTGAAAAACAGATAGTGTAAACCTTTAGTACACCACGGTAGATGATTAATAACATTATTGGGTGAATGTACTCAAAGTTATAAATTGCTGTTTGTTGTCATGACGACAAGGTGCTCGGGTCTTCTCTTCTTTAAATCATGGTCCGTATACAGATGGAACGGCAACGAGTCCCTTTTTTTCGAGCGGAGGGAATTCTATTTTAGTAACGATTGTCAGGTTTACTCTTTGCCACGGTACAGAATTCTGAAGGCTTCGTGGGCGTTGCCTGCCTGTCTATCTATATACGGTCCATGTTTAAATAAAAACGTTAAACATGTTTGTATATACATACCAGGTTATGCTGATGGATGATATATACAAATTAGGTCATATTGATGGGTGGTATAAATAGAATAGTGAATATTTACGTGCACAGTATCCACCGACACATGGCTGAGCTCGACATTCCCTGCTTCCCCTACATGGTACTATAAATATAAGTTACAACTATCTATCAAAACATATGTGCAATCAAGATGAATGGGATGAGATAACAGCCCCTCAACTCGAATGATTAGGTTCTTTCGGGACTAACACTGCACACTTTATTTCGACCAGGCGGCGGTTGTTACAGATGATTAAAGCAATAACCACTTGCATGGATAGCAGGCCTTATATTCAAACCCATGTGCGTTAGACTACTCGGCTACCCAACCCCCTTTTAAGATAAAATATAAATACATCGGGCTGTACAATTCAGTCACTGTCTATAATACAAGCCAACAGTGAGGCTGATGTCCCCCGCCGAAATCCCAAAATAAATAGATGACACACATTAATTAATCGCACATTTATTTTTTTTCAAAAGTATCAAGCAAGTTTCATCACTCTCTATCAGATAGAATCAGGATTATCTTGTCCCAAGGCATTGACCAATGAAATTGATTAGCTCTGCTTAGCTTCAACCCGAAATGTTAATCATTGAACTCAGTCCAAGACATTCACCCCTAATGAACATCTACATCAAGTCTAAACATTCTACCTCAATCAAAAGCAGAGTTGTTATGTTCCAAAGTCTTGACCAATCAAATTATTATTGCTCATTAGCCTAAGCAGAAAATTCTCACCATCGAAATTATTCAAGGTAATGATATAATGGATCTATATTCTGAGTTCCATCGCTCTCACTTCATTATAACCAAAGTTATCGTGCCTCAACGCATCAACCAATTAGATTGCTGATTTCTGCTTACCGTAAGCAGACAATGTTCATCATAGAACTCCGTCAACACATTCACCTAATGAAAGCCTACACCAAGTTTAAACATTCTATCTCAATTAGAAGGAGAGTTATTGTGTTCCAAAGTCTCGACCAATAAAATTATCGCTCTACTTACCCTCAGCAGAAAAAATTCATAATCGAACTTAGTCAATGTATTGATGTAATAAAGCTATACACCAAGGGTCCTCACTCTCACTTAATTAGAACTGAAGTTAATGTGTCTCATCAATATCAACCAATCAAATTGCTCGAACTCCATTAAGGCATTCACCTAATAGACACCTATGCCAAGTGTGAACATCCTAACTCAATTAGAATGGGAGTTATTGTGTTCCAAAGTCTCAACCAATCAAATTGCTTATGGCTCTGCTTACCCTGAGCAGAAAATGGTTCATTATCAAACTTAGTCAAGGTACTGATGTACATGAAACTATACACCAAGTTTCATCACTCTCACTTAATTAGAACTAAAATTATCGTGTCCAAAAGCATCAACCAATCAAATTGCTTATCTCCGCTTACCCTAAGCCGAAAAGGCTCATCTTCGAACTCCATCAAGGCAAACACCTACACCAACAGGGGCGTACATAACGATTTTGTTAGGGGGGGGGGTAGCCAAAATGCGACCGACTGATGCACATACCCCCAGTACGAGTGGCGCAATCAGAAACCGCGCACAACAGGTCAGAGATTTCTAGGGGCCATGTGCAGAGCGGATCTAGAAGCTGGAAATAGGGGGTGGGGTGGGGTGGTTCCAAATCTAGGGCGCCATCCAAAATCCCACCCCACAATGAATGTCAACAAAATACTGGCTATAACATTAAGCGTCCCATTAGAACATAGACAGTATTGTATAATTATATTGTTGTTCGCCGATCGTTGTCTCACCGGAAAGCAGTTTTATTTAAGTTGACATAAAGTTTTTGTCATATATGATGATTGTGCCTATAACACTGAGCAACCTGAGACAATTTTGAAAAATTGAGTCAATATCCTAGCATTTGAGGTCATTGGTGGGAGAAAGTCTTGAGGACGAGAGGACCAAAAATGTGAGCCAATGGGACAGAATCTCGAGATCTGCCCCTGTCAATTCCGCCGGTTTCACAAGAGTTGACATAACATTTGTATAGTCTGACACCCCACGACCCACACACCAGTATAACGGGGAGGTCACTATAATCGTGAATATGATAGTGCTTATACAGTATAAGAATCAGAGGAATAGAAGAATAATGTAATAACGGAATCAAGCGCCGCAGGCGCGAAAAAAATTCAGATATGTAACCGAGCCTTTAATTTTTCGGAACTGGGCCTGAAAATTTTAGTCATTGTCATGGCAAATGGAACCAAATTCTCGCTAACAAGAGGATAAGAAATGAGACAGAATCTTGTGGCCTTTCTATCAATTTCGCCTGTTTTGTAATTGTTTGTTTGTCTCATTAATTAATTTAGTCTGAGACCGACTGTGGTGAGTACTTTTTTTGAGACCGACTATTTTTTTGCCATGAGGGAAAAACATTTCATAGAACAACATACTCACAACAGAATAAGAGTGACAAACATTTTTTCAAACATGACAAGCAGACATGGTTATTTTATACTATAGTTTTGTGTGACGTATGCAATTTTGGCTCACGGATTCATACAAATACATAGTATTTGGGATCTATTCTGGCATTGTTTGTTTACCTCATTAATTCATTGAGTCGCCGATGCATAATTTTGAGACCGACAGCAGTGTACCACTCCCACATTTACGCCCCTGTACACCAAGTTTGAAGATTCTAGCTCAATTAGAAGGATAATAATTATTAAGTTCCAAGGTCTCGACCAATCAAATTTCTTATCACTCTGCTTACCCTGAGCCGAAAATGCTCATTATCGAACTTAGTCAGGGTATTGATGTAATGAAACTATACACCAAGTTTCATCACTCTCATTTAATTAGAACTAAAGTTATCGTGTCCCAAAGCATCAACCAATCAAATTGCTTATCTCTGCTTACCCTAAGCCGAAAATGCTCATCTTCGAACTCCATCAAGGCATTGGCCTAAAAAACACCTACACCAAGTTTGAACATTGTAGCTCAATTAGAAAGAGACAGACAGACAGACGAACCCATTTTAATAGTCCCCTGCTTTCTTCGAAATAAATCATATTTACCGGGACAAGCACCATCCGAACAAGTGCCACCAGTTTGTGTAGAACAGCCACGTGTAGCGTGGTCACCTATTGCTATAATAAAGATAATTTACAATATATAACTGTGCTTTCATAAGATAAAAGGCTAACATGATCTGGTAGACAAATCATCCAACATAGGATAGTGTTACTAAATATTAAAGGATCAAGTAGAACAGTATTAATAATAGAAACACAGGGCTTGCCACGAGCAAATTGGAGGCGAGTAGATGACCACTCACGCAAATATAGACTTGCACGAGTGAGGCGAGTACATGTATTTACTCACGCAGAATGATGTGCGTGAGTAGCCATTTAAATTTCATGTGCCTAATGGCAATGCTCTTGTCACTTCGGTGGAAGCGGACGTTGAATGAAGCTATTTCACACACAATGACAATGCATACTCTTTTATTTCCTTGGCAGTAATATTATCTGTAAATCGTCTTGGCGTGCTGAGGGGATTCGGGTAAAGCTTAGAAAGGTAAAAGAACAGGCAAAACAATTTCAAACTCATCAATTTACAGAAAAGATGCGGGATCGAAAGAATTGCTATTAATAGAAACGACAACATCCGCTCAATGTTTGATTATCCAGACACGGCAAAGGACATCCGCTTAAAAACCGCCTGGCAGTACGCGTCTCAAAGTATTTTTAGTAACAACAGTTGGCACTGGAAAGACACGCCGCGTGCGCAATAGTGCATCGATATGAAGGCATACAAATTGTTTACGGCTTTTTATATTACGATATTCAATTATTTCTGATTAAATTATTTTTTATATTTGCGCGAGTACTTAATCACTCACGTAAATTTGGTTTTACGCGAGCGTAGCGTGCGCGCGAGTAATTACTCGCGTCAAGCCCTGGAAACAGAAGTGTTATGAATAACATATATACTAAGCAGCAAACGAAACGACAGGTTGGTATGTTACTCTGAATAGACTCATTGGATAACACTAGCTAAATGTTTTTATATTGTACATGTATATTTAAGGCCACATCTCCAACTTTACCTGAGCAATAAGGCTCCTTCCCAAACATAGAATTGAACCCAGGAAATGTTCTCAACCTGACTTCTGAGATGGTGTTATGTGTTCTCCATGAATTTCATGTAACTCATGCTGAACGTGCTATTCACCGGGACCAGTGCTATAAAATGCACCCCATACTTGGTTGAATCATTCACACTACAACGTCAGCAGCATGCCACGACTCACGACAGCTCAGGGAAACCAGGCGCTTGGAAGACTCGGCGCTGGCCACACTGCCCAAGCCGTTGCCAATCACTTCCAGGTCAATGTTCGGACCATCTACAGGCTTCAGCAACGCTTTTGGGTCACCAACACCACGGATGATCGCCCCCGAACTGGTAGACTAAGGGTTACCACAAGGCGGCAAGATCGCCATGTTGTGCGACAGCACGTCAGACAGTGGGAACACACGGAAGACGCATCAGTATACCGATACAGTGCGCCGACGTCTCACCATGGACAAAATATCTATTGCCATAGACCTTATCGTGGACTGATCCTCACTCCTTGCCATCGACGTGAATGTCTACAGTTTGCCCAACAAGAACAGAACTAGCGACACAGGCAATGTAGAACTGTTCTGTTCACCGATGAGAGTCGATATTGCGTATGAACTGCAGATGGCAGGGCCAGAATATGGCGTCGACGTGGCCAGCATTATTCTGACCAATGTGTCATGGAGCGAGATTCATGGGGAGGTCCAAGCATAATGGTTATTGGGGTGGAATCGGCCTGTGGCGTTCCAAAATCTTGGTCCTTTGAGGGGAGGCGGAATCATTGCAGTGCGCAACATCGATGGGGCTCTCAGAGCCCACGCCATACCTCATTTCGCACGTAATCGAAACAACGTTTTCCAGCATGACATCACCCGTGCCCACACCGCCAGAGTTACTCGGGACCCTCTACAACAGAACAGTGTCAATGTTATGCACTGGCCAGCCCTTAGTCCCGACTTAAACTCGATTGAACATCTTTGGGATGAAATTCAGAGGAGGCCGAGACGAAACACAGCCGATGGATTGTGCCAGGCTTTTCTGAGAGCGTGGTTTCAGGTGCCAGCGGCGTTCTCATCAATCGTCAGATCCACTCCATGTACAGACGCTGCACTGCTGTTATTGGAACTCGCGGTGGACACACCAGATACTGATGTATAGACTGTGTACCGACTCTAAACCTTCTCGTAATGTCTTGGAATTGTGATGAATTAATCATTAATGTGTCAACATACTGCTAACAAAAAAAACTGTTTACAGACTCCTAACCTTCTCGTAATGTCTTGGAATTGTGAGATGAATTAATCACTTATGTGTCAACATACTGTTCACAAAAAACTGCTTTGATCCATTAAGTAAGTCGTTTTCTAGAATGATTTGATTAAAGTGCCTCTCTGATTTTGCAATCGTACTGACGTTTTTTTTGCTGTCTAGTATATCTATATTATACTTACGTCGACACGTGTCATTTACACATTTATCATGGCGGGAACAGAATGTACCATCCTCACATTGATCACCTGAAACAATTGAACTATTTGTGTGCTGGACGCTATTACAATACTTGTGGTTTATTTACAGTTTCTCTCACCCAGGCTTAAACATGGAAATAGCTATAATATAGTTTTCTTTATGTTGTTACATTGATGATAACAGTCCAGTTTTCATAGTGTATATCGTTATTCATTTGATCATATAATTCCTAACATGCCAACATGTACTGGTTCAATGACTGTAGATCAACTAAATATTATCAAATTATATAATATTGTAAGTTAGTAAAACAAACAACATGCATACCTATATCCTTACATAGTACTCTTATGACATTTATTGTCGTCTCACAATGTTCACCTGAAATAGAAAACATGTATATAACATCAGATTAACGGTAAACTTTTTGTAGGTGATAACTATTACGAAGGAATTCGCGGATTGTGTTGAAACTTTCCATACATGTAACCAACATACAAAAGAAGGTCACGTCCTGTTTTCAGACTGTACCATGAAATAATAGTAATGCAATTGTAGTTTAAAAGAAATTGGCAGTTTGTAAACCTGCAGAAATCAGGAAGTGGTACAGCTCCATATTTTTTTACCAAAGTTTTATCGAGATTTCCATGAAGTCTTGACAATGTTTGGCAGTTATCGTGATACTTTTCATTAATTTTATTGTATTTGGTGATCTTTTGAACTTGGGTTTAAATTCAACTGTTTATAAATATTTAGCTGTTTGTAAGTTCGTTAGCAATTCTGATCTACGGTAATAAAATTATATACATTAATCAACAGGAAGGTAATATGTTATACTTACTTCTGTATACACACGTATCATCTAGACAGACTTCCTTGTTAACTCTATCACATGCTTCGCCACCACAATTGTAATCTGACAAATACAACCAAATTACAGTATAGGTGATTGACAAATAGATATTTTAGTTGAGGAAAAATTATGTTTTAGTCATATACTTATTTACCTATTCAGCAATATTACTAAGCTGTTATAATGATGCTAGTATTTCTCCCAGTTTAAAAAGGGTAAAAATACAGATTAATTTTAACAGTGTACGGTACGACATGCGACAATAAACATACCTGTTAAGCTTCACTAAAATCGTATCAAAATTGGGACCTCTAGAGGATCCACAACCTTGTTATCTAATAAATCTACATTATTTGCGTAGAAGGAGCTATCAATTTAACTGGCAGTTTCGATACACTTTTCCCGGAACTCGTACTCACCCGTCATTATCGTCTAACATTTTGTTTTAATTCGGATAAAAATTGTGACCTTTAGAGGATCCGCAAGCCGAAAACGCACTTTTTCGACGAATCAGGACCTATAATCAAAGATGTTACGGTCAGATATGCGCGAATATCGAAAGGATCTTTGTGATATAAACAAACAGTACAGGTTTCAAGTTTGGTCAAAATCAGATTACTGTGGTGACCTTTAGAGTGTCCAGAAACAAAAATGAACAGACAGAAACACGGATGAGCGGGTGGACAGACGGAAAGGCGGATGGACAGACGGACAAGGGCTACGACAACATTCGTCCAGATGAACATGTGGCTATATAAAAATGATTAAGTGACATTTGACAAAGCAATCCAAGGAATATGTCTAGTTAATCCACAAATTATATGATGGAATTTAAATTTTATCAGTAAATACCACCTTATAAATTCCATATAATTGTATCATGTGGTATGTACAGTATTATAGTACAGTATTATAGTTATTTCAGTGTTATTTGGATAATATATAACAGGCTTCCTTTTAGAAGACTAGGTATCTTACCATTGCCAAGACATCGTCGTCTGAGACACACTCCACGCCTAGAATTACACTCTGACACGTCACATTCTGAAAAAAAATATTACCATATTGGTAATATAAATAAACACTTATTATAAAATATGTGATATATTTCCCGTCTTCACAAATCATTGTGCCCTGGGTGTTAATCGCAGCATGTGATCGATCATGCGACTCACCACCTGGAACAGTGATCATTCAATAGAGAGATACAACACACAACAAATTGTCCACGGAAACATTTCACATTTGTCCTTATTGTTCCTAATATATTTATTTAATATGTTACTGCCTGTGATAAGTTTAAATCAATACGGTCCAGATACTAAATCATCTGTCATTGCATCAATTGGAATTTTCTCGAATTAGTTTTATAGACGTTTACAACGTGGTTTCCATTAATCAAATCAAATTATAGTTAACATGCAAAACTGAATTTTTTCTCACCCTCTTTAACTGGTTTTGTGTCTTCGGAATCTGAAATAGAGACAAAATCCAAGACCACGTGGCATCAATTAATTATAGTTAAAATGTAAATATGGTGTTTTCTCGCCATCTTTAATTGTGGTTGTGCTACAATTTTCTATATCAGTAAACCCTGGCGAATAGGCCCACATAACAGCCATATCTCGAAAAATCACAGAAATCAAAAGATTGAATTATTCTGATTCGAAAGGAAAACTTGAATATATTGAAAGAAGTGGGCGTTGTACACAACGGCCAGATAGATGTCTCCAATCAGACTGTGCTTCAAGTCCACCCAATAATAACTGTAGTCCCTTGAGCTTTCACAAGATTTTCCAAATCGGTTAAAGGAGATAACTCTGATAGTAATAAATTCAAAGCAATGAAAATCTATAATGCATAAATAGCAAGCTACTCGAATGGAGTCTCAATTTAAAAAAAATAGGTTATTGTGTCCAAAATGTGTGACGGACAGTCGGGCGATCGAATTGTTCTAGTCCCTAAAGGCGACAGTAGAGCAAACAGAAAATTCATCCTAGCTTTACTATGTGATCATAAAACTATAATTTTACAGTGCAACAATATATGTAAGTTACTAATGGAACAAGTTAGTACCAGCTTACCTTGACCAAATTCTCCTATAAATCCATGAGAACAGCTACAATTCACGCCAAATTCTGATGGATAGCACGTGCCATTGTTTATACAGTGGTTGTCTATATGACATGGGTTAACTAAAAAGAAATGCAGACCTCACATACGTTAATAATCAAGTATGTGAGACAGCGAGTGATCACAATTCTGATTGTTAAGTAAGGCATAATGTAATATGGATATTTCTTAACGAGTTAGAAATTACTAGAGAGATAAGTAAAATAATGACAGCAACAAGTACTGAATCATGATCTTCTTGCGTTATAGGTTCATAGGGGCAGCCCAAGCTTGGTCCGGGAAGGGTTATTTAATAACAATGAATTTGTACTAGGTCCGGGAAGGGTTATTTAATAACAATGAATTTGTACTAGACTGTCTTGTGCAAATATATACTAGTAACTGTCAAGGAGGTCAATTATATGTAGGTTTGATCAATTGCATGTGCCCCTCTATCGTAATTAATCGATACATTGTTAGAGCATAATCAAGCGGCCCTATGATTACAATGCAAAGATTTAATTCAGATCTAATGCGTGAATTTTTATTTCAATCTGGTGTCAAATAAGGCTGCATCTTTAGTTGAGTTTTTTCAAGTTTGGTTTGTTCATAAATGAGCTTGTTGGCTGGTCATTCAAGGCTGAATAAATTATTATAACAATAAAGAATGTACGTTGCTTACCGTCACAGTTTTCTCCTAAATATCCTGTAGCACAATTACAGATGTAACCCTTATCAACTGGTAAAAACGTAACATTATTTTTACACGGGTTAGGTCGACATGCATTCACTAGAATTAAATATGCACAAATAATATACACAGCCTGGCTGGTATCGCCATCAGATTATTCCCCCATGCAAGTCTCGCTATCCGGGATTTCGCTATATTTAATTTTTAGAGTAATACCACTTTGATTTTGCTTGTACCGAATTATGAAGAATCAGTCTTTGCAACCATAATGATAAACAAAAGCACATAGTTAGTTGCTAAAGCATTTTCGAAAATTAAAACGATGGCATACGCAGTTTGCAATCCAGAACCCTTTACCTGTAATATTTCGCGAAGGACTTCCCTGTATATCTGTAAATACAATCAGTTTAACCCTATTTTACTCTCTCTCTCTCGGGAAATTATTGATATACAATGTAGCTTACCGTCAATGTAGCTTATCCAGGAGTACAACTTCAGCTATAACCGTTCTCGGGTGGTGTACAGATACCATAATTTTTACAGGGATTTTGGGTTACAAGCTGACACTAAAATTAATAATATTAACTAGAATAACTAGAATAAATAATATTAACTATGAAGGTCCAATCTCTGGCAGATATATCGGATAATGTACAAGGTTGACATTTGACATTCTGTTGCATGGATATCCCGGCCATGCAACTACTAATAGACTTCGAAAACGCGTTTGACAGTGTGGCATGGAAATTCATTCAATTTCGGGCCCACCATGCAAAACTGGATAAAAATGCTTTACAAAAATGCGCAGTCATTTGTTATACAAAATGGCCATCTGTCTAAATTCTTTAAGCTGGAAAGCGGCTGTAGACAAGGCGCCACGCTCTCGCCGTATATATTCCTACTGTGCGCAGATGTTCTTCGGTCAATGATTAGGCAAAATGATAGAGTTAAAGGTGTATATATATATTTGGTAGACAATTTAAAATAGCAGAATATGCGGACGACACGTCACTTTTCTTGGATGGGTCAGAAGAATCATTGCGAGAAACTATGAATTCACTTGAATTATTCTTCAGAACGTCAGGATTAAGATCTAATATAGATAAAACAAATGCTATCTGGATGGGCCGATATGCAGGTTCAAAAACAAAAATATGTAATGATTTTGAGTTTAATTGGCCTAAAAACAAGTTTTACATCTCTTGGTATCAATTTTAGTACAAATTTAGAAGAAATTATGGATCTTAACTTTAATGCAAAATTGGATGATCTTGAGAAACTAACATATATTTGATTTTAAAAATTAAAAACACTTATATGGATATACTACTTCTGAATTTATTAACATGAAAAGGGTTAACCGCACAGGCATGAAATCGAAAACTAGGCGAAGGAAAACATACAAAAACACACATTAATCGGGATTAAATAAATCCACCCAAAGATTTGGGAGAAAATGTCCCGAGTCCCTATTTAATTTTGGCTTATGTTTTTGAATTTCTAGCGCTTCTCGTAGTTTTCGATTTCTTGCCTGTGCGGTTAACCCTTTTCATCTTGTAGTTATGGTTTCACCTGCTAATTAGAGTTTAATTGTTACTATCTCTCATCTCGTCAATCTCTTATAATTATTAGTTTGATCTGCTAAATTCAAATAATTTCTAATTGTTATCAATACATTACAATCTTTCAATTTGTTAATCCTTTGTAATTGTTTATCCATATTGTTACTTCTCTCATCTTGTTAATTCTTAATTAATGATTAATCTGTTAAACGGTTTCCAATTGTTACTACATATTGCACCACATTTTTGTTATAACACTAGGTGGAAGTGGACGTAAAACACCAGAAAAGAACGAAATGTTATAAATCATTATTGCTTGATAACGATATCTGTATGTGTATCGAAACGTAGCATGTTAATAAATTCAGAAGTAGTATTTTGATATAAGTGTTTTTAATTTGTGAAATCTACCTCTATATGTCTTATAAGGATTAAACATATATTTGGACCAAACGGAAATTGACTTTAATTGAAAGAGTCACCATTCTTAAGAGTTTAATCCTACCGAAAATAAATCACTTGTTCTCAGCATTACCCAACCCAGAATGTTCTGATCTCAAACAGCTTGAAAAAAATGTTGCAAATTTATATGAAATCATGGGAATGACCGAATTAAACGCTCAAGAGTTACAAAATCAGTTGAAAACGGAGGTTTAAATTTTACTGATATCAATGCATTCAATAAGAGTATGAAAATATCTTGGATCAGAAGATTACATAGTCAACACGGTATAGACCATTATTTGAAAATACTCCCCTTTGAAATTTCTGCAATAGGATCTAATCTTTACTCCGAAATACTTGAGGTGATAGAAAATCCATTCAAGGGGGGTACCTATAAAGCATGTGTTGAGAATGTGCTCAAAAAAGGATAACAAAGATAAGAACATGGAAAATATTCTATTACAACCCATCTGGTATAATAAAATAATAAGATTTGGATTTATTAAGGACTGGTTCAAAACATTTGACACCATCAAGAATGCAAAAATGAAATAAAATGGATGAATATCCTTATCCTTAAACCGTCTGAGGACAGTGGAGAAAAATATATGCTCTACCAAAAAAGGTGACATTGAACACAGAGTTGCCAGAGTTTCAACTTAAATTTCTACACAGAATTTGTACTACGAAAAAATATCTTTACACTATCAAATTAAGCAACGCAGTGCTCGATCTGTGGGTAAAAAGATGAAACTCTTGAACACTTATATTATGAATGCCCTGAAACTCAAACTATTCGGACAAATATGTCTAATGCTATTGAAAAATATGGGTTTCTTGATGTTCATTTCACATGTAACGATATAATGCTTGGTAAACAGGAGACACCCCTGTTGTCAATTTCATTATCATATGTAGCAAATATTAAATCTTCCGAAGTAGTATAACAGGCAACTCCCTTAATTTCGAAGCCTTATTGATGTTTAGCCATTTTTATTACAGAATTGAAAAATACATATATAGGAAACATGGAAACATGCATATCTTTAATAGAAAATAGAATATGATTGCTAAGCTGTTTGATAATATGTAAAGAATAGAATATGTTAAAAATTGCGTATTGTAGCTTGACGGGAAAGAGATATTTGTGATAAATTGGTATGGAATAATAAAAAAAAATATTTAAAAAAAAAAATAAAAAAATAATATTATCCAAAGTAACACCGTTGATAGTTTTTATATTTCATTATTACACAGTTACACATTAACTAAATGGTAAATTTTTATAAAAGATTGCACCGTAGTAACAATATTTGTTTACCACGATAAAAGTCATTTTGAAATCGGTTAATAAATAGAAACGTGTTCTTTAATCTTTGCAAATATATTTGTCCTCCCAGACAATCAATGGACACCTCTGAGGTTTTTTGTGTGTTTAATTTGATAAACCACGGTAGACCTTATATTATATAGGTTGACCGTCTATCTCACAGGCACTTGAAGGGATTAAAATTTCTTACATTATCTTGTCTAGCATACTACAATATTGTTTTGGCTCGGTGAAGACATTTCAGTGTAACAGAAAATAACAAATATTTGAAAAAAGAAAATCAATATCTTAAAATAAAAGAATTAGGCTCACTTTTGCAGCAGGATTCACACATTCCTCCACATAGAGTGACAACAGTAGTCAAGATTAATGCAATCCACAAAATAACATGCATGATGATAATACTATACAAAACTAAAGCGAGCATGTGAAACAATTAGACTGTTGAACACATAGTTTATCGTTAGTTTTATACGCAAATACCTGATCGCATGTGTTGTTTTGTACAATATGTTTTTGTGGGTTGTCACAACAAATAATTAAAGTGGCGGATATAAAGGGAATTTATTAAATTAATAGATATGTTTTAGTATTCGTCTGGCTGCCATGTTGCATATTAGAATCAAGTTTTATACATATGGCGGATTAATTCTTCGGGAAACAGACTAACAAAATAAAAGTTATGAACAAGTTTAATTGATTGATTTATTTGCATGTCTGCCAAGTTGCATGTCATAATCAAATTTTAAAAATGATGGATTAAGTAAGCAGGAAACAGAATGAAACAATAAAATTTCACGCTAAAAAGTATATAGAATTAGTCCAACCCTTGTATTACCTTCCAATTCACAATTATAAGATGAACATGACATGTGCGCATCGATGGACGGAATTTTAATCTTCACAATTAATGGGCGGTTACTAGCCCGTATAGTACGGTCGTTCTTGAGTAAATTATCTTCTAAAATCAGCAGCTCTCTTTCTATAATCCCGCAAATCCTTTCTTGAAAAGTCATAGTCATTACGGCAGTGTGAAGTTGGATCGTTTTTCGTTATTCACCAATAACAAAAAACGAGGTGGGTTACGCTACATCATTATTAATTATTCAACTTGTTATTCGAGATTCAAATATGCAGCTACTCATCACTAGAATGATGGATGCCAAGTATTCTCCAGTAGCATAAAACACAGCAAAATGACTTCTAAACGAAACACAATCCAAATCTTTATTCAAGCAGCGACTAACGAACTGTTTGTTATTCGTTTTTCAACGCGTTATTCGGGATTCACATATAAAGGTGTTCAGGTATCTTTAATGAGGATATTTCAGGATTTAATTTAAAACGATTACTAGACAACTCTGTAATAATAGATTGCAAAGAATCACCTAGCAATAGAAAACTCATTAAATGACGCATAGTCGGTAAATATTTGAATTTGTTAGCTTAAGTGAATACAATCGATGATTTGTGTATACTATGGAGCACAGCATAAAACTGGCCTCGAGGTGGAAGGGTCTTCATAATAAAATATCGTTACATATAGGTTCTACATATAGGTGCCACATCAACGAACAGTGCAAGCCGCGTGTCTGGCTTTAGAAAGGTATGTACACAAACTGTTCGGAGCCGACTTCGATATTATAAGCTAGATCAGTGGCATTCGAAGGGTATGTTGGTCCCATCCTGCGACGTCAACATCGACATTTACGTGTTCGCTGGTGAACGAGAGTACAGAGGTGAAATTGAGGAAATTAGTGACAAGAAGAATTACGCGACTAGTCACGGTTCCCTTTACAACGACGGTATGAACGACAACGTGTGTACAGACCCCGCAATGAGCATATTGCCAATACCTGCCTCGTCCAACTGAAAGGTGATATATATATATATATACTTTATTTACTTTTATATATATATATATGCAACATAGATAATTAATATCTACATTCAAGTTAAGCCAACTGTATATATTTATTTTTACGTCGCACGTTTAGCTAAATAAACTTCATGATTTATTGTAATTAAAAAATAAATGGGTGGTTAACAGTGTGTAATTACAAACTATATACCGGCATGTCGAGCTGAATAAACTATATGATTTATTGTAATTAAAAAATCAATGGGTGTAATTAAAAAACTATAAATCTTTGTTGAAATAATTATATTAATTGGTTTGAGGTGGCCACATATCTCTCAGGTAGCACAATGAGCTCTAAAATCAATGGCGTCAGAATGTCGACCTTCAAAGATATCATTGGATTCGTTAATGACGGTACTCAGCAGGGGATGCTTATAATTTATTCTGTTACATTGTGATTATTTTCAAAACAACGAATCGCATTCTACACCACAAACAAGACCTAGCACGAAATCCCCACTATTGCCAAAAATTTAATGTACATAGAATTTTCTACAAGTCTATTTGATCCAATTATTTAAAGAGGGCTTACAATATATATTTATAAAACGATATTTTACCCGAACTACATTTTAAATATGGCTTAGAAACTGCAGGGTACACACCATGGTTTAGACTCTACTGGTTTAGAGACTCAATACGAACTACATCGTACATTATAGTTTCGAGACTACCAGGAAATCATGGTTTAGAGACCCACGCACCCGGTCCGTACTTGGTATCATAGTTACCACGGGTTCGTGTCTGTCTGTTATTCATTGTCACAGTAATACAGTTTTTCATAAGCTAGGGACTGAAGATGGTCGAGGGTTCTTGAACTAGGCCTCGCGAGGGGTTCCAAATCTTTTGGGGTTTTATGGGGTTCTCTCTTTGTTTTTGAAAAAATTCATGGTAAATAAAGTTTTCTGTGATTTTTCCTGATTTTTCTTACAAAATAAGGTCTTGAAACCAATTTTGAATTCAGTAAAGCTAAAAACCTTTTTTTACAAGCAATATCTACTTTGGTTTCTATTTTAATTTACATCATCTGGGATTATTTTTAGATATAAATAGAACCCAACAACTTCCAAATTCATATACACTATATTCTAAGCCATATCCACCATTTTGGATTTCATTTTGCCGGCAATTTTGAATTTCTACCATATGGATTCTCGAAATTCATTTTTGACATCAGATTTGAACCAACCAACCCCGAAACACATAATATATAAGATATATTAAAAGCCATATCAAACAGAAAATAACGATTAATTGAACTTCCACAATTTTCGATTTAATTTTAAATTTGTGCCATCATGGATTCATTTTTGTGATTAGCATTGAACCCGACGACACCGAAAACCATGTAAATGACATGGTATTGGTGGCATTTTGGATTTTCGAAATCTATCTTTAAATTCAGAGATATCGAAAACTATATAAAAGACGTGGTCATATCTTACGAGATTATCGAAGTCATATGGGGAAAATGCCATCTTATTAAAACATTTGATTTTTTGTTTTTAAAATGCCACTCATTACCAAATTTTGCAGCCATTTGAAAGAAATACTCGACACTATATGAAAAATATGCACTCTATGGTTACTATTTACACACATACCTGCATCCATTCAAGCTAAAATGCACTGGTTAATAGATGCGTTTTTAGTTTTGTTATAACAGATTCAATTGATGTTGCAGTTTTGCAGCCATTTGAAAGAAATACTCGACACGATATGAAAAATATATTTTTTTTTTATTTTTCTTTATATCAAATTCGATTTTACGACACATTTCCCTTGTATAAAGACTTTGCGTTTGAGGAATTTAAAAATAAATCATTTATTCTGCCACCACTTAAGCACACTGATTACGAGATATCGCTCTCCGAACACTCCCGAAGACCGCCATATTGAATTAGGTTAATTACATCATTTTCCCTTGGCCGAAGTATGAATTTGTCTGGCACATTGTATCCAAACTGCATTGGTTTATTTTGAAATTTGTTTGATTTAAAATGTTACCCCGCCCCGTCTACTGTCACGCTACCGGGATGAAGTACTTCGTGTTATATTCTCCGATTAGTGACTGTAGTTTACAGATTCAAAATCCATCCAATCAGACAAATCTACACAGCAACCGATTGTACCATATATATATTAATTTAATAATATTATGAATAATAAAATGATATTAGAAAACATGAGGTAAAAGTTCGAATATAAGAACTACAAATAATAAAATAATAGTAGGACAAATCTTTTATATACACCTTTTCTTTGATCATGTTGCTGTAATGCCTTTGATCCAGGGGCGTTTTAAGGTTTATCATGGCGGAGGCTATACTATTTTGAGGGCCCTCTTTCGCGGGGGGGGGGGAGCGTGTCTGCCCCCGGCCACCGGAGGTCGAGGAACATGTTGGTGCATTCTTACATATCCTCGAGGCCTGTTTATTCTGAGGTCCGGTGCCTAATCCGATACTTGTCTGAAGCCTGAATGCGAAACAAATCCCTTGTTCGTACCGTACCGGGAGCTCAATCAAATAATAATTAATTGAATATGGTGGATTTCAAATAATATTTGACCAAAGTTCAAGGACGTTACATCTTCCAGTTAGACGACATCCTTCTTTCTAGCCTTTCGGCTCGCGAAAGTTTTGATGATTTCATCCAAATTAATCGAATCCAGAAGATTAGCTTCAATGCACAATAAAGCTAGTGCACCCATGCGATCTTGCCCCATAGTTGAACGCAAATGATTTTTTATCCGCGCTAAGACGGAAAAAGAACGCTTACCCGAGCAATTGGTGACCATGATCGACAAATAAATACGCAATGTCGTATATATGTTCGGAAATGTCGATATTAACGCTGTTCCAGCATTTGTCTCTGAATCGAACATTTCTAGAATCTGGAGTTCGTAAATTTTATCCGTAATGAAAATTTTGTCCTTGATGACGTTTACGAACTGGTGCAGTTCGTTCTCGAAATGTTCGTCTAGATCGTCGGTGTAGATGGCCAACAATGTAGATGCTGCTTCCTTCAGTTCATCACGGTTTAGATTCCCGAGTTTACCGAGAAATCCAAACCTTTGGCTTAGAACTGAATAAGCATTTTGCCGTTTTGTCAGAGCAGCCGATAGCTGATCGATCATTATTACGAATGTCTGGGTTCGGAAATTTTCTCGAGGCGACAAAATTGTCTCTTCCCCATCTCCATCGTCATATGTCCGATTTCGCCTTCTTTTTCTCGTGTTTTTGTATGTGTTGCAACCAGACAGCTCTTTGCCTTCCTCTTCAAAGGTGTCAAATTTTTCCCGTAAATCAAGGACGAATGTAGCCAAAGAGCGAAGAAGCTGAGCTGCAGTATTTAGATCCAAATTGGAACTCTGAAGAGATTTGTTTGTTTTATTGAAGCGTTCTAGTACCTCGTACCATGTAGCAAGTAGGCAGCCGGTCTCCAGTGAATCTATCGTCGCTACAAATCCTTTCGCCTGCTGTCTGTAGTCCGGTTTCTCGTCAACGT